GAACTACCATGATCTGCTTTTTATAGAAGCAAGCCCATTGAGCAGGCTGTCTTGTGCAGCTGCAAACCTTCCCAGGCATTACCGGCTCTCTCCCCAACAAACGGCAGGCTTTCAGAACTGGGTGTCAGGGTAAAAGCATAGACTATTGTAGCGTATAGCAGGCTTAGTGCATTACTCTCACATAACATCCAGTATGGGCCAATTGATCAGAAGAGAGGAGCGGCTACTAGAGAGAGGAGGGCAGTGCAAAAGAGCAAATAACCAGAGAAGAGTCTTGTTGCTTTTTTTCTGATTTGTATAAAGGGTTAATTAAATGATAAACAGTATAACATTCACTTTTGTTTGCCCTCTTACAACTCAAAATAGAGACGCATTTCCATAAACGTGCACAAAACAAAACTGATCTCTTATGACAAATTAACACTGCATCTCAATAAAATTAACGTAGTTGACATTGGGTTCAACCAAAATACTATAATCAATGTTTTGAATACCCAGAAGAACAATCAAAAGCAATTCAGTATACAAAATTATGTTCCAAGTTATCTCCAATCACACTTAAATTACTTTCCCTTTAAGTTAAGTGTGGGTAAGGGAAATTAATCGCTTGAGCCAATAAACCTGAGGTCATAGATCGAATGACTGAACTCAAAACTGCTGCTTCCTTCCAGGAAAGTCCAAACCGGGATCACTCCGTGAGTGGCTCGCCATACATCAGTTACAACCCGTGTGTCCAATGTGAATCCGCCGGATCCAACCTCACACAAAACCCAGCCTTGTAAAAACACAAGGCAGAACAGGAATTAATATGTAATGCAAATCCATTCACTAATTAGCACATGCGGCATACAAATCATAGAATCACTCATAACATTCAACAGTTTCATTAGCGTTTTCTCACACACTAGCTTTAGCATTTATGCTATTGACTTTGCCCCATGCGAATAGGGCGCAGTTCAGATAAACACGCTTCATATCATGTCTTTGTCAGTTTCACTATGTGTTCCTTGCGTTAACTTAATATTTGAGCCATAACTCAACAAGGCAGATATCCGTGTTTTATCAAGTAAGGGGTAAGTTGTGGTGCTCCGTGGCCTGCGTCGGTCTCGTTTCCTCCAGTACTTTGTTCAACTCAGTTCTCAATCTAGTCGAATCTCTCTGTGTTAGCTAGCTCAGAAGTCAAGTCCCAATTACTTTTATCTCTCGGTCAATCTTCCAATGTGGTGGAAGTCTTGCAAACTGCTGCGCGTAACTTCGTCTCTGTCTCTCCTTCTAGAAAGTTCCGAAATTTCCCTCTCGTACATGCAGGAGGCCGCCGACAGGCGGGGCTTGATTCAGGTCACAGCCTGAATCAATTATAAGAGCCTATCTTGCGATGTATTCAATGACCAATAGTTTTTTTTTCTATATTTACAAATCCTTTTCCCTGATAACTCGGGTTACACGATCTCATGTAATGTACAATTATTGCCCCTGTGTTGCCAGGCAACCACAGCCTCCCTGACCTCCTGGTGTGATGCTGATGACACAACCTTCCACTCAGCACACAGATGGCCTGGCCAAATATTAAACACAAGCAATATGGTTTTTGGAATTAATTTGTTTTCTTGTGCACAAATGATGTTGATCTTTGCTATTTTTTGACTGTAGTGTGTGTGTGTGTGTGTGTGTGTGTGTGTGTGTGAGAGAGAGAGAGAGAGAGAACCTAATGCGGATTACAAGTGATCAACAAAATTAACAAGGATCAGCACTTGTCCACTTTAACTGAAGAAATATGTGCTGATTAAATATTGAAGACCAATCATCTATTGTTGGATGTGAGTGATAAATGTGGGTATTGATTGTGGTTTTCTGCTGCTGACCTCTGTGTGGGTTTAGTGCTGAAATGATCAGGCCAACTGACCAAAACACCAACTGCACACCAGAATGGAGCAGGCAGTGGCAGTTATGTCTGGTTTCACTGTGAACTGTTAACTATTTTAATTTACTGTTATTTTAGACAAAAAAATCTGTTATTTCTGAATGTGCTAAAGGTCATTCATACTTGGTATTGGTTTTACATTACCATTACTCAGCATTTTAGATATAGAGCTAGGTCACTCTGCATACAGTAAGAGATTTGTGTAATCTAGTGTTGTCTCTTTTTGCGTGTTGTTGTTGTGTCCTCAGACTGTTGCCGTCTCCTTAGGGTGTCTGTAATGATAAGAGGTGTCCCACTTCTTAATTGCAAAAGTCAGTCTGGCATTTGAAGTACAGTAGCTTTACGTAAGTGTATTTCCATGCACCCCACACCGTGAAGCTGGAGGGCTTCTTGTTTTAAGCAGTGGAGAGATTTTTGTCCAAGTGCCCTTGGTAACATGTCAGGTCTGACTGCATGTTTCTCCCACAGATGCTGCCCATTTTAGCATGGCATCTTAACAACAGAAGTTTTATTATCTCTCATCAGCAGTGCAGCTGTGGGCTGCTAGCTCCAGTTCTGTAGCTCTAAACAGGAGCAAAGGTCTCTATGAAACAGCAGACCAAGGTGATGCACATAGTGCATGTTCTTGACAGGACTCATTAACAAACACTGCTGTTCACTTTAAGTACTGATTTCTAGCATGCATTAAGCTACAATGCATCGTTGCAAAACACTGGTGTAATAGTAATGGGTTTTTAATAACAAATTAACTTTTGAGGAGGGAATAAATTTAACATTAAAGAGTCACAACAGCTGAAACATCGCAGTAACTGGGCACTTTTTGAGCTGACCTTTTGCAGTTGCTTTCTGTTCCCAACTAGACATATTTGGGTAGGTTAGAGATGAGCCCTAATGGTAAGGCTGGGATTTAATGTGTCTTCACTGGTGCTTGATCCAACCAGTGTAGGATATCACACACACACAGACAGGCAGTCAGTGCAGAACACCAATACCTCTCACACTGTCCCAAACTGTAAAATCCTTGCAGAGTTGTTTGGTTACTAAGGAGACAAAATTGCATAAAAGGCAACAGCCAAGTTCACCAGCTAGTAAAAGTTGTTTTCAGCAGCAGTGCTGAGGTCTTTTGCCTCTTGTCATGTGAAATAGTTGCTCGTCACTGCCATTTACAGCTGCCAGCATGTGAATATGACTGGCCCTGACATTGTATTGATGTCACAAACTTTTCTAGGCTATGGGAAAGTTTTGCAAAAATAACTCGATGGATTAAAAATAGGGATATACATATGCCAGTATTTGGTCCGATACCACCCCCTGGTACTCATAAAAGTTGTCCAATACTACACCCCAATACCAATTAAGGGCAGCATTGCATTAACCTCAGCCTGGCTGAGCTGGTCACTAGGAGGTGGAGAAGAAACTTCAGTGGTTTGTGGATATTTTAAGATAAGTGGCTATGACAAAACTGATGTTGACTGTGGGCTCTCTTTCTCTGCCCTGATGTGTGTCTGTGAGCGCTCCTCCCTCCTCGTCTTGGACACAAGGTCGCAGATTACAGAGATGTCAATGGTTGATTAAAAAAAAAAAAGAACAGTAAAGTAAAGATTTGTGGCCAAGCTCTGCTTAAAGTGGAGCTCGGTGATTTCGCCTCCTTTCTCCTCATGATCTCTCTCTACCCGTGCTTACTTTGCCTGCTTGCTTACCTTGTAATACTATAATGTTACACTGCTAACCACCTCATGTTTTTCCAGAAGTTCTTTTCTTTTCTAGTTGCCTTTTGCTGCACAAAGCTCACCACCCATCCCAATCCATTGTTTTAGCCTCCTCTCACTTGACATATCTGCAGTCATTTGGACTGCAGGATACTGCAGCTCAACACACTGTGAAAGATCAGCTCATGTTATGTGGATTAGAAGGGATTTTTTTTTCTTTTGTAGTAATACATGAGCACTGTATGGAGTGAAAACCTTTGTTGCTGATAACAAAAATGAATCCCCTAAAGTGAAATAATAGTAAAAAAAAAAAATTGTGCTGTGTATTTCTTGTAAAAACATAAGAGATTAGGTTTCATTTGGTTGAAATGATCTGGACCAAAAAGACAACAACCTGCTGCTTTGGTAAAGATTGTACAGATATTGAATTATTAGCAACAATATTGTGGCAGGTCATTCTTATCATGTTTTCTTGGTGGGGTGTATTCTCTTGAGTTTCTTCCCTGCTTGCACAGTGACTGATTTGGATGTTCAGACCAAGCTGCTCCCTTCCAGTGAGCAGTTGAGTCAGTGGCCAGTGTGCGCCAGCCAACAGCTGCAGCTTGAGCTCAGTGGGTACTGTATGTTACTAGTTTTCTTTCTGGCTTTTTCTGTGAAGCAAAGACAACACTTGTGACTTTGTTGCTGGATGTTTCTTTTTTCTGACAAGTTGTTTTACAACTCCTCTGTAGTTATTGTGCTTTTATGTTGTTTTGTCCAGCTATAAAGTAGATTTGGATGGTAAAATGTGTTTTTGAGCATAACTGTGTGTGTGTGTGTTTTAACAGGGAAGAAAAGGTAAAATGTGCATTCCTGTCTATTTCATACTTGATTTCAAAACCTGCTGTTGAGCTTGTGTTTTGCCACCATAGTGTTAATTTCAGTATGTTTAATATTTAAAAAAGAAAAAAAAAATTAGATTTTTTTTTTTTTTTTAAGTTACATTTAAGACATAGTGACTGCCACGCGTCCTCATTTTGCGGCGTTTAGCTTAAATTACAGCAGATGTAATATGTTTGATCTTTTGACCCTTGCAATAAATGTGGGTGTCCTTTTAAAGAATGTAAAGATTGTTTTAAAGGTAGGGAGGCAGTTTCCGGGATCATATGTTTTGTATCTGGATAATTTTTACAACATTGTATGAAAAGTTCTGGCCTGGATCCATAATCAAAACTGTGTTACTTCGTTCTGACTAAAGGATCCTTGTTAGTGAATGAATAGTGTCACAGTGCATAGTGCACATTGCTGCCAGTTCCCTCAGGTCTTAACAAAAGTAAAGTTAATTTCACCTTATCCTCACTTAGCTTTGTCTATTGTCTTTCTTCTTCCAGCTGTTGGTGAGTCTTTCTTGGACTATCTTCTTGCTCCTTCCTTGTGATCAGCCCCAGAGTCTGTGATTCCAACAGTCTTCACCCCCCGCCCCTCAACATCCCCGCATTCGTCATCACCATGGGGGAGGTAGTCCAGATGCACTTCACCACGGTGGACTACGTCATCTTTGTCTTGCTGCTGGTGACCTCAGCTGGCATTGGCCTCTTCTATGCCCTCTCTGGTGGGCGCCAGCGCACAACACAGGTAGAGCTTTGGTGTTAGGTGCATTAAAGATTTATTTTCCAGAGGGTACTTCCCTTTACACTCCTCAGAGTACAGAGTCAGTTTCAAGCATGATCTTAGTGTTCGTAGTAATAATGCCTAATAGCAGCATTTTGTTTGCCACAGGAGTTCCTGATGGCTGACCGCTCCATGAGCTGCCTGCCTGTCTCTCTCTCTCTGCTGGCCACTTTCCAATCAGCCGTGGCCATCCTGGGGGTTCCGTCTGAGGTGTACACCTTTGGAACACAGTACTGGTTCCTGGGCTGCTCCTACCTCTTGGGCCTGCTTATCCCAGCTCATATTTTCATACCAGTCTTCTACAGGCTACAGCTGTCCAGTGCCTATGAGGTACACCCAAGCAGCAGACAGAAGGGGATTTTCCTAGCTCGTTACAGGTTCTGCGTTTGTTTCCACTGCGGTGCGCCCGCTGTGGAGGTGCCTTCTGGGAGCTAAATTTCAGCACCCCTCAGGAGGTAGTAGTAAAATCAAGTTCTAGGAATGTGCACAGAGCAGGTGTCTGTTATTGGTTAAATGTTTGCTCTTCACACCTCAGTCATTAGCATTACAAACACAGCATGAAAAGAGTCATTTATACTGGTTTAGAGGTAAAACAAGGACTTATTGTTGGTTTAGAGGCAAAGCAGGGATTTCAGTGAGTGGATTGTGGGCAAAGCAAAGATGTCACATTTCTGCAGTTTTGTGTTCTGCTTGTTCAACAGCTGATAAGCTGCTCATACAGGCTCCCTTACTGGCTGATTGCTGCAATGTGGAGTGATCCTTCACATTGCCTTTTCTCCCTCTGCTCAGCTGGTGTGACAGAGGTGCAGCCCCTCCTTCCTCTAAACCACATGCGTCAAACTCAAGGCCTGCGGGCCAAATGTGGCCTGCCACGTCATTTTATGTGGCCCACGAGAGCTTAATGGGTGCAAATATATATTAAAATAAGTACATTCTGCTTTAAAGCGTGCATTGACCATAAACTACATCTCCCACAAAGCATTTAGATTGCTACCCATGAAATAACGACATCTCTACACTTTCAGTGGAATTGAGAAATCTCTACAAATGATCCCGAAATGTCCAAGAAAAGAAAAATCGATGCACAAAGAAGGCAGTTTCAGGAACGATGGGAAAACAAATACATGTTTGTGCTTCAAGGTGAAAAACCAGTATGTCTTTTGCGTTATGAGGTGGTGTCAGTCATGAAAGAGTATAATTTATGTCGGCATTTTGACACCAGACACGGAGCTAGGTATGCCAAATTTAGCCTCCAAGAAAAACCAAAAAAATTTCCAAGAATTAAAAGTCAGACTGCAGTCGCAGCAGAATGTGTTCACAAAAGCTACAGCCAAAAACGATGCAGCAGTGAAAGCTAGCTTTATTGTGGCTGAAGAAATTGCCCGAGCTTCAAAGTCTTTTTCAGAGGGTGCATTTTTGAAGTAGTGCATGTTGAAGGTGTGTGAGCAGGTGTACCCTGACCAGATACAGACTTTTCAAAATGTCAAGAAACATAATCGCAGACCAAGTTAAGGAACTGGCAGGAAATCTAGCAACACAGCTGGCTGAAGAGACGCAGCTATCTAGCTTTTTCATTATCTGTGGATGAAAGCACAGACAACGACAATACAGCGCATCTATCCATTTTTATTAAAGTTGTAAAGCTGGACCTCTCCGTCACTGAGGAGCTCTTGGATGTAGCTGCCATGCATGGGACCACAACGGGCCTGGACATTTTTGATGCAGTGGAGAAGTCCGTAAGTAAAATTAAATTGCCCTGGGAAAAGTTGGTGGGACTAACTACAGATGGTGCGCCTGCAATGTGTGGAGGAAAAACAGGCTTGGTTGGACTAATGGAGAAGTTGCAAAAAAGTAACTGTCACACGCCTCTGATAACGTATCATTGCATTATCCATCAAGAAGCTCTGTGCGGAAAGGTTCTGGAGCTGATGATATAATGACCACGGCCATGAAAACAGTGAATTTTATTCGGACGCATGGCCTGAATCACAGCCAGTTCCAGCTGTTCTTGCAGGAGGTGGGATCAGAGCATGGAGACATGCCGTACCATACAGAAGTATGGTAGGAGCAAAATCCTCAAACGATTTTTTTTTTTTTTTAGCTTAGGGAAGAAACTGCTCTCTTCATGCAGCGCAAAGGAAAACCCTTGTCTGAACTGTCAGATCCAAACTAGTTGTGTGACATAACTGAGCATCTCATTCAACTGAATCAGAAGCTGCAGGGACGTAAACAAGTCATCACACAGATGTCCGACATGATCACAGTTTTCCAGCGTAAACTCGACCTATGGAAGTGCCATGTGGAACAGGACAATCTCGCCCACTTTCCTGTTTGTCAGAGCATCTCAGCCTCAGTTCCCGGTGCTTTTTCATGTGCTCTGTTGGCTACCAAACTGAACCGGTTAACGAATGAGTTTGATCTGCGCTTCTAGCACTGCACTCTGGTTTTGCCATCTTTGCTGATCCTTTCACCACCGACATCTGCAGTGTGCCCCATCACCTTCAGATGGACTTATTGAGCTTCAAAGCGATAGTAGCCTGAGAGCAAAGTTCCAGGATACTGCAACCCAGGACTTTTACCATCTACTGCCCCCTGGTTTGATGCCACAGCTCCAACTTCATGCTGCTCGTGTTCTGTCCATGTTTGGGAGCACCTATCTGTGCAAACAGATGTTTTCAATAATGAATCTAAACAAGACCAAGCACAGATCATGCATTACTGATGACAACCTCAACGCTGTTTTGCGGATTGCCTCAGCACAAGACCTAAAACCAGACATTGACACACTGGCCAGGAGAAAACGGTGTCAGACATCCGGCTAGAAAACACATAGGTAAACATTTTTAAAAATACATAAGATATACCTACACGAAAAAATATAGAGTGGGGAAAAAAAGCAGGATGGTCCGCGTTAACCTGGAAAGTTATGCAGGGCGACATACAGGGTGTGCCACTCATTAGGTTCCAATAATGGAAACGCAGTAGTAGTTTGAGATGACTGCCCTCCTGTGGTGAATGTATGATCTCTTAATGCGTTGTTAAAACATTTGCTCATTGCAATGGCTTGTGTCCTCTGTCTTTCTTTCAGTTTTACACCCTATTAGCTCTGTCTTCTGCTTGTCCTGTTGTTTTCTTTCTCAAGTATGATGTCCAAGTTTAGCTTATCTGTCCTGTCCTTGATGTGTTATCATCCAGCAGAACAGTGTTCTTTTCTCAAAACAGAACACCTCCTTCAGTCTGTCTACAGTCCGACTGAAGAAGATGCTTTCTGACTTTAGGTTCTCATCATTAAAGATTTTAAACTGGCAGTTCTGGACTTTAGAGTAAACATTGTCATGACTCTGAGGTGATATGTAATCAGCCATCTCATTTTGTTTTTCTTTTCTATTCTGTCTTGCCAACAGTATCTGGAGCTGCGCTTTAATAAGACTGTTCGCATATGTGGGACTGTGACCTTCATCTTTCAGATGGTATCTTGGTCTGCTTCATACTTCCTTTATACATTAGTTTCTGCCCTTTCTGATTGGTCCAAATTTTAATAAAATCACCATCATAAGCTGCCCTATGTAGCTGCCTAGTAAAGGCATGAGTCATTGGATACAGAAAATTGTTTAGTGATTTTATTAGACACTTAGTAGGAAAGGCAATCATCTTCTATATGGTACTAACAGCTTCACACCTACTGATAAAAGAGAGGCCTTTTTCAGCTTGGTGTTTATCCTGTTAACTTACTGTGCTCATGGCATCACAAGCTGTTTTGAATTTTGATTAGAAATCATTAAAAAAATATCAAGAACAGTTTTGTATGCTGTTATATTGCAGCCTGTCTGAACCTTTGGCCCTGGAAATGTTACAGTGACCCTTGTGAAAATGTCATTGTTTGTTTCCTTTATGAATATACAGTATTTGTATTTTCTCCAATTAAAGTGTTATGTTCAGTATTGTCATAAGTTGGGGACACCACTCATAACATGAACTGTTATGTTAAAAAAAAAAAATGCAGTAGAAAAGTAAGCTCCCCAAAATGAGTTTAGAAATGTGTATTAACAGTGGGGAGTTTGTCTGAAGCTGTTTTGTGTCATCAAATGATGATACCAAGTTAGACTGCCTCCTGCTCACGCAAAGTAATTGTTAGATATGCCCACCCAAACATTTTTCTGTAAATGCATTGTACACAAATGCTGACCATTCAAAAGTCACAAAGTTTTTGTTGTTTTTAGATAAGCAGGATATAATCTGACAATGTGTTGGCTAGCTCCAAAACATGAACTTTGAACTCCGTTTTGTTTTTCAGTCTTCCTGTTTTGCAATAATTTTTTTACTCTTCATCTATAGGTAATTTATATGGGGGTGGTCCTATACGCTCCAGCTTTGGCACTCAATGCAGGTAATATTTTACCACATGATCCATCACACCACTGTTGACAGCAGCAGGGGGCCCACGGATGATAATATTGATTACAGGACATGCTGCAGTTATATGATGTTCACCTGTATAACTGAGCAACCTGTTGTGCAGGTTAGTAATGTTTTCAATCTGTTTACATACAGTGACAGGATTTGACCTATGGGGGGCAGTGCTGGCCATGGGATTGGTGTGCACTCTTTATACTGCTCTGGTGAGTCACTGTGACAATATATTTGTAGCTAATCAGTAAGTAAATAAGCTTTTGAAATAAACTAATTTGTGTGGATTGTGTTTTTGCAAACCTATCTAGCAAATTAAAGTGTCAAATAATATTTTCAGGAGTAGAAAAACCTCTTATTTTGTTTCATCTGTGATTATTGTATCAACATAAAGTTAAAATGTGTGCTGTCAGTATACTGCAGCTCTCATCCAATCACACCTAACAGTTTGTAATATGGATCATTCTGGACTTTAAAGTGATTTGAGCACTGTCCCACAAGGATTGAAGTGTTAACCTGTGTGTCAATGGCATGCAGGGGGGCCTGAAGGCAGTCATCTGGACCGATGTCTTCCAGACAGTAGTGATGTTTGCAGGCCAGCTGACAGTCATTGTGGTGGGATCCAGTCAGGCAGGGGGTATAAGTGAGGTCTGGAGGAAAGCAGTCAATGGCAGCCGCATTGCTGGACTAGAGTGAGTAGTCAGCCTTTTAGTGTGTTGTGTTTAGGGTTAATTAGTTTTCTTGATAAAGGTAGGAACAGAGAATCATGCTACTACTACTTTGATTTAGGAATCAAACTTCTGTATGTGCATCAGATGTTCATACTGTATTATGCAGCCTGAACCCGGACCCTCTGGAGCGTCACACCTTCTGGACTCTGGCTGTTGGGGGAATCTTCCTAATGCTGGCTCTATACGGGGTCAACCAGGCCCAGGTCCAGAGATACCTCAGCTCCCGCACAGAGAAAGAAGCTGTCATGTCAGTATCATCACATTTTCACAACATGCTCTGCTAACTCATAGTGATTATAAAAATAGCATGATGCAAAGAGTGTAAACCTTTTTTGTTTATACAGTATTAATCCGTATTGATCTTAAACATAGATTATTTAAAACCCGCTGAGCAGAACCAAGACACACACAGTAGTTGAATTTTAAAACACTGCTGTTGAATAGGCGTTAACTTCTAACTATACGCAGATGATATGATGATGTTACAAACCCCAATTCTAATGAATATGGGACATTGTGTAAAATGTAGAACAGAATACAATGACTTACAAATCCTTTTTGACCCATATTTAATTGAATACACCGCAAAGACAAGATATTTAATGTTCAAACTGATAAACTTTGTTTTTTGCAAATATTCACTCATTTTGAATATGATGCCTGCACCACGTTCCAAAAGAGCTGGGACAGGGGCAACAAAAGACTGGGAATGTTGAGGAATGCTCAAAAAATAACTGTTTGGAACATTGTACTGGCAAACAAGTTTATTGGAAAGGGTGAGCCATGATTTGGTATAAAAGGAGAATCCCAAAAGGCTCAGTCATTCACAAGCAGGGATGGGGCGCAGTTCACCACTTTAAGAATTGCGTGAGCAAATAGTCCAACAGTTTAAGAGCAACATTTCTCAACGTATAATTGCAAGGAATTTAGGGATTTCATCATCTACAGACCTGGAATATCATCAAAAGATTCAGAGAATCCGGAGAAATCTCTGCACGTAAGCAGCAAGGCTGTAAACCATCATTGAATGCTCGTGACCTTCGATTCCTCAGGCAGCACTGCAGTAAAAACAGACATCATTCTGTAAAGGATATTACCCCATGGGCTCAGGAACACTTCAGAAAACCAGTGTCAGTTAACACAGTTTGTCGCAACATCTACAAGTGCAGGTTAAAACTCTACCATGCAAAGCGAAAGCCATACATCAACAACAACCAGAAAGGCTGCCAGCTTCTCTGGGCCCGAGCTCATCTGAGATGGACTGATGCAAAGTGTGCTGTGGTCTGACAAGTCCATATTTCAAATTGTTTTTGGAAATCATGGGCATCGTGTCCTCTGGGCTAAAGAGGAAAAGGACCATCCAGATTGTCCAGCGCAAAGTTCAAAAGCCAGCATCTGTGATGGTATGGGGTGTGTTGGTGCCCATGGCATGGGTAACTTGCATCTGTTTAGCACCATTAATGCTGAAAAGTACATACAGGTTTTGGAGCAAAATATGCTGCCATCCAAGCGACGTCTTTTTCAGGGACGTCCCTGCTTTTTTCAGCAAGACAATGCATTCTGCACGTGTTACAACAGCGTGGCTTTGTAGTAAAAGAGTGTAGGTACTAGACTGGCCTGCCTACAGTCCAGACCTGTCTCCCATTGAAGATGTGTGCCGCATTATGAAGCGCAAAATATGACAATGCAGACCCTGGACTGTTGAGCAACTGAAGTCATACATCAAGCAAGAATGGGAAAGAATTCCATCTACAAAGCTTCAACAGTTAGTGTCCTCAGTTCTCAACTGCTTATTAAGTGTTGTTAAAAGGAAAGGTGATGTGACACAGTGGTAAAAATACCCCTGTCCCAGCTCTTTTGGAACGTGTTGCAGGCATCAAATTCAAAATGAATGAATATTTGCAAAAAACAATAAAGTTTATCAGTTTGAACATTAAATATCTTGTCTTTGTGGTGTATTCAATTAAATATGGGTCAAAAAGGATTTGCAAGTCATTGTATTCTGTTTTTATTAATGTTTTACACAATGTCCCAGCTTCATTGGAATTGGGGTTTGTATTAACTGTATATTGTTACCTTCCTTTTAAACATTGCTTTTGATGTGTACCTTTATGTTGCTTATCTCCATTGTTGACTGTGTTTTTCATGGCCCTGAACATTTTCTAACCATGTTTGTTCACTCCTCTCAGGTCTTGCTATGTTGTCTTCCCGTGCCAGCAAATTGTCCTGTGTTTAGGTTGTCTGATGGGTCTGGTCATGTTTGCTCGGTATGGAGAGGACAGTCCTCTTAACAAGGGCTATGTCAAGACTAAGGACCAGGTGAAAATTAATTTACCTTTGTGGATCACCCAAATGATAGTGAATATACAATATGGTGTTTCTCCATTCATTTGCTCTATTTGCTTATTCTTGATGGTTGCAGGGGGCCTGGGGCCAACCCCAACTGATACTGAGTGATCCTAATGTTTAGTTTGTTTTTGTAGATGGTGCTATACTTTGTAATGGATGTATTCAGCGATCTCCCTGGGCTCCCAGGACTGTTTGTGGCTTGTCTCTTCAGTGGAGCTCTCAGGTATATGATCTAAAAAAACTGGCTTAGAAGTAAATGATCATCTACTTGTTTCTCAGTCCGTCAGCTGTTGTTGGTTACTAACTGGGCCTATATAACTACAGTTGCTGAACTTATACCTGGTTGTCACAGCATGTTGTTTAGTTGAGTTTATATGCTTTGGGTTCAGCCCAGTCAGTCTTTAAATAATAAATCCTGGCAATAACATGCCAGGGTTTTATGTCTTAAGTATTAAAACATCAAAGCACTGCTGTTTGTTAAATTTATTGGTGTGTGTTTTCCCCTCAGTCCACTTTTAGCACAGCATGGTGTCAAATGTGACAGTTTCCCATATCATTCTTGGTTTGCATGCATAAATGTAGTCCCTGCACTTGGTCACGTAGCAAGAAGTAATAAATGTTAAGTCATGAATAATTTGTGCATCTATTTGTATTACGTTTAACAGGAAATTCTGCTATAAGGCCCAAGAGCACATTCTCCATCATTAGCAGTCATGTTGCACTTTTAAGATATTTCAGATAGACCTGTGAGACTACCATATAGTCGGTTTAGAAATCAGTTATTTATTCAGTCTTTTTGGTTTTTATTTCCCCCCCAGCACCATCTCATCAGCCTTCAACTCCCTAGCAACAGTAACTATGGAGGACCTGATTAAACCTCATTTTCCAAGGATGACTGAAGCTAAAGCCACACTACTGTCCAAGGGCCTTGGTAATACAAGCAAGCAATGGTTTTGGTTTTGGTTTTGTTTTGAGTCTAGTGTTTTATGATTATATGCATAAGACCTACATGAAAACTATTGTCCAGAAGATCTCTGCTGCCGGTCAGACCGGTGAAGACCGTTTTTCCATCCACTGTCCTCACACCTAATCAAGAGCTGGTGACTGACAGCTGCTTAGACACTAAACATCAAATGTCACATCTTGTTTTCAGTCAGGCTGTGGTTACGTTGTTGAATGATGCACTGAGCAGTTAACTGTTGAGGACTTTGTACCCACTAATAACTCTGACAAAAATAACTAGCATATATTAATCCATTAACTGCCGTGCAGTCGTGTGTACAGTATATAGAGGAGAGGGCTGAGGACACAGCCCTGTGGGGCGCCAGTGCTGATGGAGACGGTGGAGAATGAAAAGGTGCAGAGCTTTGCTGTCTGGTGCCTGTTTGTCTACATACAGGTATGACAGTCTGTACCTATATCAGACAGCTTAGCTACTATCTTCTGAGCTGTAGTCAACAAAAAGTATTCTGGTATATGTATTTGGTTCATCCAGGTGAGTCAGTGTTGAATGAATTAATGTTGTGACAGCATCCTCTGTGGATGTGTTGGAATGGTATGCGTATTGATGTCCAGGAGAGATGCTGGGTGTAAAGTGTTAAACAATTTAGCCCCCCTTGAAGTTGGGGGCGCCAGCGGTCAGATGTATTCCTGGGGCCATAAGGAGCAACATTAAATCCTATTTGAATCTGAAGGATAAGCATAACTACAGCAAGCTTGTTATTCATGTTGGCACTAATGACTCCCGACTTTGCCAGTCAGAGGTCACTAAAATGAATGTTGAATCAGCATGCAACTTCACCAAAACAATGTCAGACTCTGTAGTTTTCTCTGGACCCCTGCCCAATCCGACCAGTGATGACATTTTTAGCTGCTGGCTCTGGCTGTCTAGGTGGTGCCCAGAAAACAATGTGGACTTCATAGACAATTGGAAAGCATTTTGGGGAAAATCTGGTCTGATGAGCAGAGACGGCATACATCCCCCTTTGGATGGTGTGGCTCTCATATCTAGAAATGTGGGCTAGTTACAACCTAAATTATGACAACCCAGAGTTGAGACCAGGACACAGGGTCGCAGTCTTACATGCCTCTTTGCATCATAGGTTGTAGTATGCAGGTCATAGTATGCTGAAAAAACTTAGCAGAAGGCATCTAGATATAGTTTTAGGTAGAAGATGTTTCGCCTCTTGTTCAAGAGGCTTCATCAGTTCTGTCTGACTCGTGGTGAGCAGGAGGTATTTATCCCACTGGGTGGTGTTTTCAGTCCTTCGATGGCCAACAACGTCCTCTAACGACTGAGTCGTTAGGGTCTGGTATCGGTGAGAGTCATTACCTGTCTTTAACTCTCACATGTGGACTGACACCCGGGAGGTGGAGGCTTTTACCAAGCATGTCAACTCTGTGGATATCAAGTTCACTTGTGAGGATGCCAGAGATGACTGTCTGGCCTTTTTGCACTGTGCAGTCTACATAGGAGGAGACAGAAGCCTTAAGGTGGAAGTATACCAGAAACCTACACACACGGACCAATACCGTCTTCTTTTACTCACACCATCCACTGCAACACAAATTGAGAAATATCAGAACCCTAAATCATAGGTCCAAGGAAATGCCCACAACTGCAGAAGGAATCAAGAAGGAGGAGCTTCATATCTAGAACTCCCTTAAGGCTTGTGCATACCCCAAGTGGGCCTTCACCAAAGCAAGGGGCCCAACACCAACGGGGAGAAACCAGAAACAAGAGGGGATAACACTGCTGTCCCTTATGTGGCTGGTTTATCAGAGAAGCTGAAAATGATTTGCCACAACCCAATGCAAGATCACAGTTAAGCATTTAACTGTCATTATCCTTCATTGTACTAATAAGAGGCAGTACAAACTACACTGGTATTATTAACATAATACCACTGCACTCAAGTGCAGAAAACGTCATTTGAACCCATTTACTGCTTTATTTTAATTACTGATCATGTATAAACTAAGCTCTTTTGAACTTCTAAAGAAATGTGTTTTAAGAACAGTCTAAATGTAGCAGGTCTTCCATCTAAATATTGCTTGGTTATGTGCTCCACAGCTTTGACCTATGGCCTGGTGTGTCTGGCTATGGCCTACCTCGCCTCCATAATGGGATCTGTGCTGCAGGTAATGGTCTATTCAGGTGGTGTGAGTGGTGACACCATAGCAGCTCTCAGTTAATGAGAAATTGCTGTAAAATGGTTTTGGCTGGTGTAATTTCCTGATTAGATAAAAGCAGTAAATATGTCTCAAGGACTATAGTGTGATAGACTACTTCTCACATGGTGTTTATGGGCAAAATCCTTGACCTAGAAAATAAGAGAGGTATTGTCTTAAACAAAAATACTTTTGGTGTAAACAAAAAAAAAAGTGCTGTAAGAACTGTGAAATTTTCTTTCATAACTTTGGTTTTTGTGTTCTAATGCAGCTGTATAGCCATCTCGGAGTCATTCATTGCACTGCTGTGTCTTGTTCTCTGCCCTCAGGCAGCCTTCATGATCTTTGGGATGGTGGGTGGTCCCCTGCTGGGCCTCTTCTGCCTAGGAATGTTTTTCCCCTGGGCAAACTCAGTTGTGAGTCCTGCTTTAAGTTAGGGTATTTATTCAATGGTTTTATATCAGTTTTTTTCTCATTCTAGTCTTAGATAATTTGCAACAGGAGAGTAAGGGAGATGAGAAGGGCAATTACAGTGCTGTCCAGCACCTGGTGCAAGGCTTTCACTTGTCTGTACTGGGCCCATGTTCCTTTGCACTTTGGAAGTACTTGGTGCAACAAGAAACATAGAGAAGAGCCTGCAGAAACACCTTGGAAAGGATAAACTATGGTCAGGTACTGGACAATGAGGGACTTGCTGGCTACACTTGAAATGCATGTATATGTACAGTATATTCAACTGATGGTAAAATACAGTAAATAAAAACTAAACACACTTTATAAAGAACTGTATGTTCAGTAGGACTGATATAACAGATTACAGAACATGTATTTTTTTAACTGTGCTTGGTGTATTTCTTTATTTTGGTGGAGTTCTGGTTGAATGTAGTCAGCTTTAATTGTTTTGCTGGATTTTGTGGAGCATCTTATGCGTATAGCTCAGAGAAGATAGAGTAGAAATAGGCCTTAGGTCAGCTGCATGAGTGATATGCGTGCCAACGCATGGACAGTATAGATACGTTAGCTGGATTACTTGGTATAGGAGTGTATCATTTACATGACATGGCTTGTAGCGTAGACGCAACATCAATGTTTGAAGGTTTTTTTTTTTTTTTTTTTTTTTTTTTTTCTTTGTTTTGCTTTGCTTTTGTGTTCATCATTTCTTTCCCCACCTCTGACCTTCCTTTTCTCTGTTACCGCCATAGGGTGCAGTATTCGGATTAGTAGCAGGCCTTGCCATGGCCTTTTGGATTGGCATTGGCAGCTGTGTGATGCATATGTCAGGTTCCACCACAGTATCACCACTCAACACCACTTCTCTGCCACTGTTGAACAACATGACCAGTACAGTCATGACTACACTTGTCAGCGGCACGACAGCCAAACCAAGGTACTAACTTTATAAATATTTGCTGACTGTATTACTTTTATCGGACACCTCAAATGAAGGCTATAAACAAGTAATTCTAAATGCCATGAATCAAACTTCAAAAAAAGAGGAAAGCAAAATTTTAAACGGCTTTTTACTCTTGTTGTTTTTTTTTTTCTCATCTTTCTTCTTTCATCCACTTCCCAGGCCAACCGGAGTGGAAGCACTATACTCATTGTCCTACATGTGGTACAGTGCTCACAACTCAACAACTGTGGTGGTGGTGGGACTGATAGTCAGCCTGCTAACTGGTACATACACTTTGACTTCTTGCTTCAGGTTCCAAACCAACCATATCATTGACATTATCCCCACAACCATTTGAATTAGAATCACACTAGGAACCATGAAAACAACTGTAATGAGAAGCTGAATAGCAAAGTCCCATAGACATTGGTTAGTGCCCCATGTTGGAATTGCAAGTCACATGATGCCCACACAGAGCAACACATCTGAAACTGTCAGGTCCAGTTTATTTGAAGGCCTTCAAAAGTCATGTATGAATATTATTTTTTGTATTTTTCTAGCAAACTGTTAGATATTTTTGGTCACATTTCAGCATATGGACTGAGTGAGCGGTTTTCATTGATATGAATGGGCCCCTTTTTTTTTTTTTTTTTTTTTAAATACATCAGTAGGCTTTATACATTCACACTTAAATATTGATGAAAACTTTGCATGCTTGATAGCAATTACCTCCCCTGGCCAGGATTCAAGTGGTTTGCAGGGTTTTCCCTACCATTGAAAGTGTGTTTGCGGAGCACCTAAGCCAAATGACTATAAAAAGGCAGCATATCGGAGTGAATGTAAAAAAAAATGCTGAGTTATATGCCCTGAAAAATAACATAAGATGGCAACAGGATTGACCTGTCAGTCAACAAAAAATGTTTGGACAAATATTTGCGTGATTGGCAGCATTGCCAAGCTAATCAAACAGCTGAGTGGATATTTCTCTGTACCGTCAACTCAAGTCCGATGCTCAGGACAGTAGTTAGACATGTTGATAAATGTTATAAATCTAAGTTAAAATTTCCTTCAAATAATTTTAAATGCTAAATAATAGTGACATTGCCAGCATTTTTATTCTGTGTATTCTGCTGTTATGAATGGGACATGCAGTATCTAAGCTGTAGTTTGTCTTTATTTAATTTTCCACTAGAGTGTGACATCATTCAAGAAGAGATCCTGGTTCATTTTGTCATGTAATTATCTTACTTGGTTAAAGGCAACCACGATCAAAAGAAAATCGCTGTCCTGTTCATCTCTTGCACATTAGGACCTATGAAGGAAAAGGAGCTGATGCCCGGCACAGTGTATCCAGTCCTGGGCACACTGCTCTTCTTTCTGCCTGAGCGCTACAGAGAAAAGCTTTGCTGTGTCACTCCACTAGCTCAGAAGGTAACCTCATATTTATGTTCCCAGGCACCTTCATGCTTGGCTCAAAGTAATATGACCTTTCAGTAGTCTTTTTATTTTTGTTGGCCAGCCCAAAGAGGTTAACATGCCTCCTTATCAGATGGCCAAGAAAGGCAGCAATGGAGCTGCGTACTGCCAAGATGACACTGTCACAGAGGACAAAGAAACAGAGAATGACAGAAAACAAACAGAGGAGAAAGACCTGGAAATGAGGATCACTCTGCACTCGTGCCAACCGACAGCTCACACAGTTCAGGAGACGTCTCTGTGATCCTTTTTGTCCACTTATAATTCACACACATTCACAAACCTTGAATCTTAACTGTTGTATGATCAGTTTCTTGGAGAGAGGTGCAGCAAAAGACAGGACATAGAAGAGAAGTGTGTCACCAAGTTGGTCTTTGGCGTTAGTATTTTACACTGACAAAATCACTTGATCAGAGAAACAGACTTGCGTACCTGTGTGGGGAAACTGGTTTTGTACCTGCTTGTCTGCCTGTTTTTTTTTTTCTCAAAAATAAAAAAACCAACAACTGGAAATCAACTTATGCCATGCTGGAACTGTACATCGAATTAGCTAAATACTGCAGTCTAAAAAGAAACTAGTCAGTTGATCTCTGTTCAAGATTCCCTACTTGATGTTGTTTACAGGCTTTTGGGTCAGTCCAGATGTGTGCAGCTGACTGTTAGAATGCTGGGCAACTCTTATGCACAATGAGCTGTTCCACTGTGACTGGATTTGTTGATGTTTTAACAAAAGAATCCGGTAGTTGATAGCTGCTAGATTTAAAATGTGCTGTTTTTGTAGAAAAGATGGGACCATAAAATCCCAGAATATGTATCAGATAATATAAAAACAAAAAATGTCAAGATAGACTCCACTTTAATAGAAGACATTACAGGTCTGTGCTACTGTTGTAGTGTAGTGACTTTATGGTACATTGTCTTGGTTCAATACTAATAGTCACCTTCCACCTGCTACTGTAACTGATTACAGTGAATCCTCAAAAACAGAGCCATGTGTTCAGATGAAGGCAGAGATTACACAGCATAGTAAATCCTCTGCTACCAGGACGTGTTCTACAAACTGTGTACGAGTAGAAAGCAACCCAGTGAGTGAGCACAGCTGCTGGCTCCCCATTCATGCTCTCACTGTTTCCCCACAGGAGGTTAATATTGTCCATTTTGTTTCCAACTCTGAGGAGTTGTGTGTATGCATATACAGTATATCACAGAAGTGAGTACACCCCATCACATTTTGTAAATATTTAAGTATATCTTTTCATGTGACAACACTGAAGAAATGACACTTGGCTACAATGTAAAGTAGTGAGTCTACAGCTTGTATAACGGTGTAAATGTGCCGTCCCCTCAAAATAACGCAACACACAGCCATTAATGTCTAAACTGCTGGCAACAAACGTGAGTACACCCCTAAGTGATAATGGCCAAATGGGGCCGCCTTGTATACAGTATATCACTTCTGTGATGTACTGTATACAATGTGCAACAAATTTCCTCAACGGTTGCCACTGTTCACTCACCCCCCTGTACACCCTATATAGTGCACACTTTACTTGGTGCACGGTAAATCAGATTTCACTTAGGAATCACGCGTTGGGTCACACAGCTGTTAATTATTACATCTATAAAATGCAACATATTGCATTGTGGGACTTTTAGTATAAATTAGTGGACACTACACTTGTTCAATTGCTGTTATTTTTGTGGGTAATACATACTACATAGGTTTTACACTAATGAAATAATGGACAGTAAATATTGTGCACTATATTTGCACTACAAGTACAGTGAGGAACAGAAGTATTTGAACTCCCTGCGATTTTGCAAGTTCTCCCACTTAGAAATCATGGAGGGGTCTGAAATTCACATTGTAGGTGCATTCCCACTCAGAGACAGAATTTAAAAAAACATTTCAGGAACAACCACATCCTGCCGTCAGTATGTTTTACAATACCAACATTAAGCAAACAAACCATCCTGCCTTTTTTCAGGCTTTAGGTACAAAATTTTCCAACTGAAAAACCATTCCACCTTCTTCATCAATGCTCCAAAATGCTCCTTAATTTCAACATTGCTGTTCATCTAATACTGTGATGTTAAGGCTTGTTATTTTTGGGCCAGTATGGAATGATTACAGCAAGCAGTCATGTGATTTTTGAATTAAAGCAGTGGTTCTCAACCTGTTTTGGGTTAACACCACCTTAATTCAACTTGATCCCTTTTGCCACCCATGGCATCTCAAGGCGAGTGTCATCCACCCCCTGGCACCTTGCTGCTGAGGAGCTTCTTAACTACCTGAATGACCTCTGCTGCAGATACAAGTGAGGTTTCCCCTGAGCCTTCAGACTTTGCCTCCTCCTCAGAGGATGTTAGTTGGGTTCAGGAGGAGTTCTTCTGTCCCCCAGCAGAACTATGGAGTTCCCAGGTGGTGCTTCTTCCAAGACCCCTCCCAGAGTCTGTTCAGTGTATATGTAGAGACAACTGATAGTGCCTTCCTCCAAGTGACTTATATTTGCCTGGAGGTGTCCCTCTCTTTTCCAGGATGGAACTCCAATGTGGTAGCACTCAGCTGGGGACTCATCAGTATCCCCACATCCATCTGCCCAGCCCCTCTGAGGTGTTTGAGTCCAGATCCAATGCTGTGAGTGGAGGTGAGTCTAACCATACCTAGTTGGTACCAGTCCACCTACCACATCAGCTCCGGATCCTTCAACACCAGAGAGAATTCACCATCCTTGGAGCCAGCCTTCAATGCCAGGGATCAGCATTCCCAGACCTTCCCTGACACCCAGCTTTCATAGCTTCTTACCTCTAAAGGTAGTGGGCCCACAGGGTGATGGCATTGTTTTTTTTTTTTCGTGCTAAAAGGCCTGGTCACCAGACCCTCACTGGTGAGCTCCACTCCCAGGTCTGTCTCCAGAAGAGGGCCCTGGTTTCCTAATCCAGGCAAGGTGACGGTTCTGAAAAGGAGGGCAGCTATGGCGCAGGAGGTAGAACAGGTTGTTTCCTAACCAGAGGATTAGCAGTTCAATTCCTGGCTTGTCCAGTCAACATGTCGAAGTATCATTGAGCAAGACACTGAACCCCTAGTTGCTCCCAGTGATGACACCGGTGCATTTACCAAAAGTCCAACTTGCTACAGTCCTTTGAATAGCTCTGTCCCCCCTCCCCTTGGGAGACCCTACCAGGAGTTTTTGCCTCAACAACTCTCAGGATCACTGACTCACAAAGACCTTTCCAACATCTTAAGGTGGTGATTCTTGGAAGGGATGTGGAGTATATTTGTCTAAAGGTAAAATAATGAGGGAAATAGAATAAGGACACAATACACTGGCCTCAACATCACTTGTCTGCAATGTGTGGACAAAGGAGTGTGATCCCCTCTTCTGGAGCTGCTAGGCATAACTGACTGGTGCATAATTCTCTTCTAAATCCAAGATAATATACATTACTTATTTTCATTACTCACACTTCGCAGGCATAAAACCATTTAATACACTGCTTCGTTGGTGCTAGACATTGGCGCCCAAATGACCTTGAGAATCATATTAAAGATCTCCATGTCTATTTTAAAACAATAGTAACATGTAAATATCCCCCTCGTGTTTACAGGAGAGAATTTGTAAATGAAATCCAGACTGCTGAAGCCTTACGGCAGCATTAGCTACACATTGGAATGCATATTTTTCTCCTCTGACATAATCATAAATTCATTGTTTTGGGTGTTTGTGGAATACAGTTTTAGTTCTCCATTGTGTTCAGGAGTGAACATATCCTAAGCAGTGATATCTCCTGGGATAAAAAATAAGTTATAAGGTGCCTCACTCACTAAATGTGCTTTTGATGAGCTGTTCTTAACATAGATTGTGTTAGGAGCACTAACTGTTTTTGGTTCCCTTTAGCTTTCCATAGTTTATAGCACAAGTGGCTCTGTTGGCTCTGTTACATCACTGTAGAATTTTCCCACATGTTAATATGGTTTTACTTCTGATCCTATGTGACAAGACCGAATCACAGAGAAGCCATCTTGACCCTGTAATGGGCCTACTTTAGTTCCATTAGGCAGTTGCTTTATATAAAGTGTGTATACATAGTATGAGTTTATAAGGTAATGGTGTTTCAGCCATCTCTACTACTGTTTTTTCAAACGTCTTCCTAAGTGCCCATCTTTTATTTAAATTCAGGTTGTTAGTGTAGTAGGGTGTAGTTTGCCTGTTTTGAACTTGTTCAGCTTCATCATCATTGTCCCAATTTTTGGAATCAGAATTCTTGACCATCTCCACTTCAGTACTGTAAATCATCCATTGTCGCTGTAACGTAATGTTTAAGCCAAACCACTAGGGAATGTTCCCTGAGGGTTTTCTGTATTAGTTTGCATGACCTACTGTACATTGATACAAAAGAACGCCAACTTCTCATTTAAAATGAAGACATCTGTGTCTGTTGCCTCACAGTTAACTTATTCATTTCTGTGTTGCTGAACTTGCAGTTGGACTTGGAAGTTCTACTGGACTTGCAGTCAGGTAAATGGTAGACAGTCATGGTGACATGCAGGTTAGCAGCAGCCTGGACAGTTCTCATATTTTAGAACCATTATGGACTCCAAAAATTGATACATCCCCGGTTTGATTTTATGACAAGTCCTCCATGTAAAGCACTTGTTTATTATAGGGCCAATATGTTTGTACCATCATCCTGACACTCAAATACCTCGATTTATCCAAAGCATATAGAATATTTTTTTTTACAAACAGAAGTTGTATTTGATCATATTGTATATTTTTGTAATTTCATATAAGGCCTGTGCACATTTCATGAATTGAAATGTGGATTTTTTTTAATGCAAGAACTATGAAATGTTGTCTTAGTAAATGTTGGGCAGAATTGGGAATGTAACAGCCTCTAAGATGTCCACAGCTCACAAAAACAGAATGTCATACGTGTCAAACATCATCAGCTGTTGCCTTAGACAGCATTTCACACAGAAAATGCTCGTCAATCACAGCTCATTTTTATGTTGCATCCCAAATTCTAGCCATCAAGTTGTGTGCAACTTAAATTACGTGTCAGTGTGTGGTTTAATTTATGATTGCACTGTGTGAAATTTCACTTCATACCTGAAATTACTTGAAGTGTGTGCCTGTATTTAAATGCTACACAGAAAAACCCCCTTTATAATGTAAGAGAGCAGATTTCAAGTACTGCCATTAATATAATTGCTGTTAAATCTGCAGCTGGGTGGAGCACTGTGAAACTATATGGTAAAGCACAATGAGGTCAGTACTCAGTCTGCTATTTAGAGAGTCTGACTAAAGCCACTGGTTTTCAGTGTTCATGTGTTCAGAGTTCTGTTTCTTGTAAAGACAAATGTCAACTTGAGGTTCTCTGCCAGGGTGAAACATGCTTACTTTATTAATTTGTGACATTTTTATAGGGAATTCTCTGGACACATAAGAATAGAGGTGAGAGAAAAGTATGGCACTTAGTAATTTCCAACTGAAATAAATATTGTCTTGAACAATATTTATTATGTTTGTTCTCCCATCCTGAAGAATTCTTCCTGTTATGCATTCCAACGGGGGACTCTAAGCACTGAAGTCATGATGACTCCTTTGTTTTTAAACTCCTATATCCTGATGTATGTCTAAGGATTTCTTATACAGCTCAGGATATTACCCCAACCTGGGACCCAGACATCTTTCCAGCAGTGGAACAGCTGTCTGTTAATCTATTTCTGACATAAGGCTGAACAGTCTTTTACACTGAGGAGTAACAGTCTTGTTGATGGAGGGAGTGGCAGAAAACATGAAACCCCTGCATGCATCTTGAAACTGACTGCATTTAAATCTGTTGCCATGTTTCACTGTTGTATGAAGATTAGTGTTGATGTACATGAATTCAAATAAAAATTTATTTCTTTTTATTCACTGCATTGTTCTTAACTATGCACAATATCCTATAAATGGTGTAGTAGCCTACATGTTTCTCTCCTTTTGTAGCCAGAGAGCCTATTGAAATGTAATTCATTGCTGTTGCCTTTTAAAATGTGAAATATGTGATTAGAGGTTTCTGATGTGGTTTGTTCTGTGTATCTCTAAACATTGTAAATCACTTTGAGCTGGTCACAGGGGCAGATCTAGAAAATGTTGGAGCAGGTGGCCAGGCTCAAGAGACGGGTGTCACATTTGAAATACTTGTAAAAAGTAAACCCTTAGTTCTCTGAATTAATAAACCGTACATTATTAAGAATCAAACTGTTTATTTTGTGTTGAAATGAGGCTTTGTCCTTTACTGTAGCTAACTTTGCCTGCACTGCTGCAGAGGGAGTTGACACAGTTGCCATGAATACCTACAGTTAGTATGGTCGTGAACCCTAGAAAAGTTTGTGTTGAAGTAAAGAGCAGAAAAGTGTTAGCTTAGGCTTACAGGATTTCAGTATACAATAATCTTATCCCAGACTGATCAAACAATTTATAACTTAAGCACTGTTCAGCAGCAGAGTCAGTAGAGTCCTGTAGAGTAGAGTTCCTTTAGCCTATCACCATATTTACTCTCCCCACTATCCCACTCTCTCTACTGTCAACCATTCTTCTCCTGCACCCTCCCCTCTTCCCCTTCATCGTCCTCTCTCATCCTCCTCCTCACTAGTATCCTTTCTTGCTTCTACCAAATTCCAGTGGAGGCCCAGCCAAAGCGGGGGGAGAGTGGCCTCAGAGCTCCATAAATCCGGCCCGTAGTCATGTGTATCAGCCATAATGAGCTGCAGATAGTGAAAATATGCTGATTATCTCCCAACATGAGATGAGGCGGTAGACATGTTGAAATCATGCTTTCTTGAAGTTGTTCCAGTGACATAAATAGCTGTCTTCACATGGAAGCAGGGCCAAAAAAATACACACTTTTCAAGGCATGAAGCCTGGAAATAGAGGTGCTCCCTTGGGTGCATGTGTGACTCTTATGTGTTGTGATATACTCTAGTGTATGTATATACAGATCATATACTTGGAAGTGAAGAGCACTTGCAATAGATTAGATGATCTGAACAAAATAATTAACTGTATCTGTACTTGTACATCAGTGAAATGGGACTTGTTGAGTCTATGTGCCTAGTCCAGGTGCTAAGGCTGAAATTGTTGCATTGGCTGGGCCAGAGCCATTAAGATAGAAGAGCTGTGACACTGAGGGGTCAAAAATGGCAGCAGATCATGTGATTCATGTAGCTTCAAATAGTTCCATACAGTTGATTAAGATCCACTGTTTTCTGTAGGGAACAGCAGGATTTATCAGCGATTACTATTTTTAATAACTTGTCCAGCCTTGCAAACTAATTCTGTGTTCTGTTGTTGTGGATAGCTCAGCTAAGTTAGCTAGTTAGGTAGGTACCTAATTATTAACCTCTAGAGTCCCTGCGTCCTCATATGAGGACCGCACAGCTTGGGTTTCCAAAGCTCAGGACTCTAGAGGTTAAAGTGACCCAATATTTGAGAGTCAAAAACATTGTAAAATGCATTTTTACACAAATGTAGCTAACTTAAAATATTACAAGTATAAATATTGCTATTGATTTCAAAGAAGTTAAAGTAGTACTGAAAGAAGAACTTGCAGTTTAAATGGAAGTGCTAACATACGCTGAGGTCTCAGTTTAAGCATTAGCAGGGAAGGTGAGAGTTCGGAAAGTACTCAAAAATGTTGATATTAATGTGATAAATTGACCTGGAAAGTGTCAGCTGACACTGAAGGGGAGAAAGTGGACAGAAATCACTGACAGCAGTGAAGTCACTGAAGTTTGAAATCTTCATAGAGAAGACATAAGTGACACACACAAACAAAACAATCACATTTCTAAAATGCAAAATGAAAATAAAGGAGGATTAGGGTTACTTGATATATGACATTGTAATCAAGTAAAAAAAGAAATAGATGAGTAGACTTTTTGAACAAGGTTTTTTCTTCCTTTATTTTCTTTTCCTGCAGAACTTTAAGTAACATTTACAAAGATTTTTATTCTAGCCTCAATGTTTTCTGTGCTTCTTTCTACATTGACATTTACACAGTCGCTCCAGTCTCTCTTGTAGCTTCTCTGCCAAAGCGTCTGGTTTCTCCTGTCCTTCCGTAACCTCTGCCTTAGTACTCAGAGTCCAACAGCTCCAAATTAGTCTTCATCACTACACATGGGACTTCCCCCCCACCCGCCCTACCCCCGCCTCTTTTGGACAGATTTATAGAGCTAGCCTTGAACACTGGGCTGCTGCTTGTGGAGCTGAGCCCATTTTGCTCAGAGGGGAGATGATTTCAGTTAGTTTGGTCTCTCATCTGTAGCAGGCACATCAACATGACTTATTGAGTTAGATTTCAGTACCAAGGACTTATTTTTGTAATTACAGTGTAATCATACAAAAACATAATACACTACTCGCATACACTAAATCATGAAACTACAGCTCCTGTGAGAAAAGGACAAACTCTCTCTTTTTTTATATGAAGGTCTTTTGTCAATTCTCAGCTTTCATAACTATTTCTTTTAAATACACACAATATCAAAATGTCTGGTGTTTGGTAGGTTTCATGTATGGTGAGGGTTTTCATGACAATGCAGGCAAATGTAAACGATCTGAACTCTTGAATCCAGGCTTTTGAAAGTGTCACTTGTATGTAGCCAAAGTAAATGGTGCTATATCAGAAGGGAACATGTCTGCACTGACAAAAAATTAGAAGACACACTTTAAAAAAAAAGAATGCAAAAAAATCTATTTATAGTTTCATCACTATTCAAAAACCAAAATATAGTTTAAATGTGTTGGCATCAGTTGGGACATTAGACTTTAATATATTAATGAATCCACAAAGCTAAATTTAAAATAGTGCTATGCAACATCTGGGTCTTGTTGGCATTTCAAACACTGGATCAAATAGTTATTAAATTTATTTCACTTTCGTTATGGGATGACAAAATATATTATTAAAAAGATCCAGTAACATTATTCAGTTATTTAATCAATGTAAACACTTAAAATTTCCTAAAATTTAGAATATGCCAAGTTAACAAAATAACACTTTTATGAGAAACATAGTAATAAATGATGCTTTTTGATGGGACATTTAGCTCCACCCACTGAGTTTTAACACCTTATTCCTGTCTCTGAAATGTTGTTTGTCTTAACTAACTTTGAGCATTAACCAACACACACGAGCTCTTATAGTAGATGGTGTTTGGAATGAAAACAGACTAAGCTGTAGAGATATAAAGTGTGTTCCCAGCAACAGTCCATCCCTACCTCTATCCTTTTACTCACACACACAGACACACAAACACACACACCACTAACACATAAACAAAACAGGAGGAAAACTTAACCAATATGCATTTTATTTAAAAAAAAACACACACACACACACACAAACAGGCGATTGAACTGTTATTCACAGTGAAAGTACCATCTAAAAAAATTAAACAAAAACACTGTACAATCTTTAAATCATGTTAATAGGTTACGCAGTGTTCCTTCATGTAGTGATTTGTGGTGTAAGCAGCCTTTTCATTTCCTCATATTAAATCTGTTCCTGACAGCCTGTTATCTAATGCTCAGATAATGATGGAATATTTTCAGCAAGAGGAAAAACAAATCTCTGTGTGCTGTGTGTTTACCTGTATGTGTCTTCCTCTTTTATTTGCTTCTATTAGTTTCATGCATTTCCAACTACAGCAACAGTATGCAGCGGACAGTTTTCCATCAGTAGTAGCTGCATGGCTTGTTGAGATTATAGATAAGCGACTGGGCGAAAGTTAAGACACATGTTCTGCTATCATTCTTTGTCTGTTTCTAAGGTGGCGGTCAAAGGTTGTGCTCCATCCCGTCCAGGTGGGGGCATCTGATTGGCTGAGACTCCTGATAGCAGCTCTCCCACACTGCCACAGTAGAGCAGGGAACGCATGGGCCACTTCTGAGCAGAGACACAGCAAACTGGATTAGTGCTTCATGCTGATATGATTAGCATGTACTAGAAAGACCTATGTGCTAAAACCCAGAGATACTGTAAGTGAATATGAAACATAACTTACACTGAAAACCTTCTCATTAAATGAGAACACCTCATAACTTTTTGTGTGTTACAGCTGATAATACACTAACTGCAGAACTGACAGAGCAGAGTTTAATAAACTGTCCCTCTAAACAGACAGTATTACTTTAGCCAAGGCTATTTTTTTAAACAGCTGTTACCTATTACTGTACATGTAGTGATGTAGTAGTGATGTTAAAACTATTAACATAAAACAATGATTTTGTTTATGTTCTCATTCCATACAGCCACACAGCATTATCATCATAATTACACTGGATAAATTCACAGTTATGACATAATAAATCAAGGTTAATATAATATGTCATGTCATTAACCAATATTACTCTTACTTAATATTACTCTAGCTAAGTAGCTAAAAACAACCTGCTATCTGAAGGCCACAATAGTGATTTTACAAATAGCTTAAAAAAACATAGTTGTCTAAAGGTTACATTAGTAGTAAGTACTTAGAACTACCTAAAAATGATTGGTTTCCCAAAGGTCATAATGGTGGTTGTATGTACTTATACACTAACTGGCTAAAATGAGTTAGTAATCTACAGGCAATATGGGTAGTTCTAAGCACTTAGGCTATAACTAGCTAAAAGTGGATAGTTATCTAATGGTTACAATGGTGGTTTTTAACTAGATAAAAGAACCAGTTTACTCCTATAAATAGCTAGCTAACTCTTTACAGAAGCCATGCCATAATATTATTAGCAATACCAGTTATTACTTTTTGCATACAATGTGTTCCTTTTTAGCACAAATACACAATTCTCAGTGTGTGTGTTTCGGGCCGCCTGATGGATGTTCTTTCAGTTTCTGGTCCCCACAGGGACACAGAGCACTTGGTGCAATACCTCACTTGGTCATAGGATGATTATCATCTGTGTATGAAGCAGGTCAGTAATGTATATCAGTAACAGTCAGTGCACTCAGCATGATTAGCAGTAGGCTATTAGTTTCCCGTTTCACCTTCACAGGATGCAGGTATCCGCCTGGCCTGGACTGCATGGTGTGCTCAGCCAGCGCACCTCCCTGGTCCAGGGTCTCTGTTAGATAGGCTATATAGTTGGTAGCCAGAACCAGAACATCCAGCTTGGATAACTTGGTGTCAGGCGGGACTGAGGGCAGAGCAGCCTGTATAGAGAGGAGGACAGTGGACAAACCTGGATCAGCTTGAACTCAACATTCTACATGGACGTTCATTAATGTTAAATTCAAAAGGGTGCAGCACATAACATCAATATGCTTGTAAAGATTGTCCTAGGTTTCTTGTGCATTCAGCCAATGTCAGTTAGAAGATGTGGTTGGCAAAAAAATACTTCTTACTCTATTTATCAAGCTGAATTCAACACACAAACAGGTGGCAAAACGATATACATGATATATTTTGTAGTTAACAAGAAGAGCAGCAGCTTGTGCTCATTGAAATGAAATGTCTGGTGTACCTGCAAGCTGTGGAAGGCCTGCCGCAGGTTGCGCACGCGGCTCCTTTCTCGTGCTGCATTTTCTGGGGAGTGTTGACTCCTCGTCATCCTGGACTGCACCACAGACCCACAACCAGAACCAGAGTGTGATCTGGACCCACATATAGACTGTACCTGTAGCAGAGAACATGTTTAAATCCTGACACTTGTGCTCAAACACTACATGATAATAAAACAAACTCTTAATCACACCCTTTATGCAGGATTAATTACTTAAAGTTACAATGTAAAAATGTGCATTTGTCTATTGAAGATGATTGAATTATTTGAACCATGGTTGTTACTTTAACCTGAGTGTGTTCTGCCCTTTGGTAGTACTACATACTGTAAATACTTTAGGGTTTGTAAATAAATTGCTAGTGAATAAATTGGCTGAGGGACCTTATTTTTCTGATGTGATTTTAAAATGCATGGCTAAATCTTTAGCTAGTGTGTGGTTTAACAAAGATCAATAATGACTAGAGAGGAGCACATTTGAACCTAGTTCATGGTTCTCTGCTTCTAAAAGTGAAATGTGCTTTCAAAGTGCATAACAGTCAGAAATGAGGATACCTACATTATCCACAGGTCCGTAATACTAGTTATTTGTTGAGTCTAACTGTACTTGTTTGGTTGGGGTTCCTTCATGCTCCCATGGTATTCTCACCCAGCTTCAGTTTTCCACATCACACTAATACTCATTGCACTAGAGGCATGGAGCCTTGGTTCATGTGATTACCAGAAATCACAGCCACCTAATGTAAAGGACAGATGTATCCTGCATCCTGTTGCAGAAAAACACATGGCTTCATTTCGGTCAAACTATCTGTGAATTAATCTGTGGGAAAGTATTGCATGTCCTCACTAAAAGTTTCTAAGTTCTCTGACATAAAGAACAATGGCCCATTTGGCTTATTGAAAATGTGTGATTGCATCTGACCAGTGTTGTGACCAAATCATGTTTAAACTATGTACATTTTTCTGTTATATCCTAATAGGTGCAATTAAGGATGAAAACTGTGTAAAACCTTATCCTGCATAGCATTTATATTTACATTAGAGTGTGTTTATACACAACTTGAAAGTATCAGACATAATTAATGGTGGTGTTTAAGAGGAGGACACATCTCAGTCACACATTGGAGGTTTAAATTGGACCGTTTGCGCAGACTCACCCACTTCCTGGGCTCCCGGCCGCTGCGTGCACTCTGGCTGTGTCCCTGCAGGGATGCTCGGCTGCTGGCTGCATGAGGCTGTCGGTTCTGCGGCTCCATTGTGGAGCTGGAAACCAGCTGGTGGTTCACTGCGACCGACATGAGACCTTGCAGAGGACTGACTGCCATGGATGCTGCCGACGTGGTGTAGCAGTCTTGAGAACTGAAATCACTTTTGTTCAGTCTACTTTCATTAGCTGGATGAAAGATTACTTTTCTGTATTGAAGATTGTAAAAGTATCATCTACTAAGTATGTTGATAAGTACACTACAGAATATACAGTCTGAGTTCATCTTTCCATTTAGTCTGAAAGCTTCTTTAAGCCTCATCGAGACATAGCAGCTGAGATTAATCATCTAATCTCAGGAAATGCACAAGTCTATTCTGTCATCACTGTTTTTGTAGCTGCTAAGGACTCTTCTATTCAAGCACCTCCAGGCTTCTTTCCAAAGTTCACCAGGCCTCTGTGGCACCCCAGTTCCACCCAGACCCCCAAACAAATGGTGAGAACCCCACAATTACTGGCTGCTTCACTGCGCATTAGTGTTCATCCAGAGACTTCCTCCCCGTCTGACCCTCTCTCTCTCTCTGCCTCTCCTTCTCCCTCTGCTTGTTTCCTTATCGGGTGAGGTAATGTGGGGAACTTCATGCAGTCCTTATCTCAGCTACCCAGTCGTCCTGATCCTCCCCTGGCTGTTTGACTGCCAAGAAGAGCAGGCAGGCAGGCGATCAGGCCTGGGGGAGTGCTACACTGGGGGGGTGTCCTGAGACAGGGCACTGGGGGGCTTGGGAAACTCACTGCTCTACTAACAGCTGGCCAGGGGTGGGATTGGAGGCTCGGGGCAGTGTGACATTGAACAATATCAAACAGAGGTGGAAATGCATTTAGATCAGCCTGGAACCTTCATATACTGTAAAACTGCATCATGGGCATGAAGCAGATTTTGTGACCAACTCCACACTACAAGGTTTTTAGCATGTGCATTTTATCTCCTGGGTGCATTTCACAGCAAGTTTACCAGATTTGTAAAACTGAATGTTAGGGAAGTCCAGAATTTTCTGGACCAGGAGTGAGATTCAGCCTGCCAGTGATCCAGAAATCAATGAATGAATCTGTGACTGTTACAATGTCAACAGTGGGTCTGAAGCTAGCGGCCTCTGACGGAGGTTAATTTGAGCTTTTTTAGCCTCTTTTCAGGCTTCACATTTCAACCAAGGTGTTCAACTAAAATATTTTTTGCAAAGCTCAGAGATGACAGTCCATCTCATTACTCTACGGCCGTATTGTATGTTAAAACTTATTGAATGATTTCATTGAAAAACCAGTTTTCAATATAAAACTAGACAAATGCATTTCCTGAAGAAAATGTGTGTGGATGCTGATTGCTGAAGATTTGCCCTGAAAATGCTGAAATGGCTGAAATCCATAGCTTGGTAGTTAATGCCACTGACTTTGGTACGACTTCATCATGCCTTTTTCTGTGTTGTGATCTGCCGCTATATAAAAAATAAAATTAACTTCACCTTCAGGGGGGCAGGACACTAATATTGCTGCAAATTAGATACAAAACACTGACAGAGTGACATTCATATATCTTTCTCCCAGAGCCTCCAGTCCTACTGGGAGTGCTGGTGTTAGGGCCCTTCATGTACAC